CCTGCAAGCGCAAGCAGTCATATTTAAGAAATAGCAAGATACATTTAAAACCTAACGCGCTTACTAGGTGTCTTTAACGATAATTATGCCGTTAGATATTTACATCTGACTGAAATTATCGATAAACAGCAATCTTTGCTGCACACGTAATGATCTGAATGCTGAAATATGGGCCGTTTAGTTGGTGTTCTTCAGTAACATTTAATTAAATTATCAATAGTCGCAATTTTATTCCATGATGCCAATTTATTTTATATTCGATATGCTTATAAATAATCCAAATGTTGCCTATAGTATATCATCTATTAAAAATTTCATTAATTAATTAATTGAAGAAATGATGAATCAATTAACCCAGTGTGATAATCAATTATACATCTACTGTATGTGTAGTAATGAATAGTTGGTATGCAGGATTCGACGGAATTTGAGCCGCAGGATCTGTTAATTTGCACTGAAGTAGCTCAAACTGACCATCGTCGTAACTATAACAAACATTATCATGTCAAATGTCTTCACAACTCTCGCAACGTTCTATGTATAATTAAATATCATACCTTCGAGAAACAGTTCCTGGTAATTGTGTTTTCGAAAAGCAAATGTTTTAACCTAAACACGAACACCGAAACACGAAGCATCGGTATGCAAGCTCCGATGTAAATATGCATTCAGACTTTAACTATCGGCCAATTGAGTGGAAAATATGCACAGAACGAGAATTAGTAGGTGTTGGCTCCAACAGAGGCGTTACTACATTAAATACACAACGATGATAAATCGATATTGTGAGGTAAGTGAGTTTTTTTAGTTGTATAAAGAAGTAAAATAGCGGCACACGGTTTACGCTTCGTGCGAAAAAATACCGCTCAGTAGTTAGAAAATTTAGTAGCAACAATTAAAATACGCTGAGTTATAATATTAAAAAGTGTGCAGAAGATCAGAGTGGATCCCTGTCGAACGCCACTCAATTGAGAAGACGCGGTTGTGCGTGATCGGGCTCCGGGCTCAGGTCGATCGGCAGTAGGTCCGGTGACCTGAGTCGTTACCGGACGACCCGCGACTCCCCCTGTTATGCAACCGTTGCACTCTTGTGTCAACATATCGCCTCGCTATCAATCAGCGTTGACGTTGCACGCATATAGTCGGGGGGCGTTCCATCGCCGGATCATAATTACCGCTGACAATTAGGAATGGGATATTCAATACCTTCATTACCCGCGGCGAAATAGCGCCGATACTTTGTCCGGATAATTATAAGCATCGACGAAGACGGGCAGAGATTTATGGAAACGGTGATTGCGAATGTATTTTTTACGAGCATTTACGCGTACGGAATGGGTTTTTAAATTTTATCATCGGCTAACTAGTGATTAATTTTGATTTACATGGGACGGTTTTGGGAAGGTAATCGAACTTAATTGACTTCTAATCAAATACTAACAATCTGAAACATGATAACAACCGCAGTAATGGTTTTGTTGACAAAGGGACTGCAATAAAACCGCGGTATTTTTCTTGGAAAAGTCCGCGTGTAAATGGTTTTGCTCACAACAAACGGCTAGGAGTAGGCCAGTTGGCAATTTACGCACTGGTTTAGATGGCAGTCCAGACATGTGTAATAACATTGCAGACAAGGTGTTTGCTTATAAACGTTGACATGTATATTATTTACGAACCAATGCGACTCCTACTATTTGCTTTTGTTTCTGCTTTAACAAATTCATTCCCTCTAACGACGTTAGAACCGGACTCCCTACACATTTCCCTCGATTCAATCAATTAACTCGATTAATTAATAGTAATTCAATTTATTCCTTGTTATTATTTATTACTGAATCCATTATGACCTACCTTACAATAATAAGTTCTTTGAGAATTAGATACACCTGTTGTAGCAAGTGCATAAGAATATTGATTGCATAATTTTTTTAGATGCTTGTAAAATAATTTGTAAATGTTATAAAATATTTATGTTACTTATTTCACGAAGTAAAGTAGGTATAAACGAACGATTCTTACGCAACTCCTAATGATGTCAATTCGTTAAAAAAACTCCCGCCGATCTAACAAAGTCACGAACAATTATTTTCCACTTAAGAAATAACAATAACCGACTTTGTCAAAATTGACAAAAACGCGGTTATGAAGACGCCGAGTCGAAGTTATGCGATATGTATAGGAAATTTCTCTAACGCTGTTACACCGAATATAGAACAAAAAGTTAATAGACGAAAGAAACCGCTTCACTTTCGTTTTGAAATAAAATCCTAATTTAATGCTGATTAAATGCATAAAATTTTTGGAAAGTGAACGAAATCGGCGTGTCGTTTTAGAATTGAAATTGCTCAATTGTTCTATCGATTCGGCGAAGAAAAAAATATTTAGCAATTGGATTATGGATCTGCAATATTTTTAACACTTCGTTGGATTGGCCTCGAGTTCGATTTAGGGAATTGGGATTACTAAGTAAATGGGTTGGTGGTTGAATCACTTGACTGATGCAGTCGATAGAAAATTATTACTTAACAACTTAATTTTTTATTTTGTTCAGCAACAAGATCTAGCTCAAATATCGCATGCTAATTCATTTATATGATAACTACAACCCCTTGTTGAAAGTACAATAATTTTATTGTATTACATTGAAATAATTCGTTATCTATTAATATTTAGCCGTTATTATTCAATTTGTCGACCTTGTACCCCATACAAATCTGTCGATATTAATTTATTGAAAAATTATTCGAGAAGGAATCAATAACCTCTAACAATTGAACTAGAAAAAATTCAAAATGTCGAAACGCTTTATAAACATGTATGATTTCCCAAGTATGAAATTACAGTTGTACGTTAATTATATAGGTATCAATTATTACACAGTTTTCTTATTTAAAATGATTAAATATTCGCCTCAAGAAACTAATATTGATTATATCGATATCGATCTAATAACTATACGGTTTTGTAGAGTAAATAAATTTTCATTTCGTAATTTTTAATAGAATTTTGGTAGTCCAGTTTCCTCTAGTTCGGTAAGCTCGTTTTGATAGTAACCTGTATAGGCTAAGAGTCGTGAATATTCATCATTTCCTAACAATACATTTGAGAAAGTAGACGGTTGTAATTCGAATCGTGCCGATATCGACTTCAGTATATTTAACATCGATAAAAACGTCAAAAATAATCAGTTTACCACTTTATTAAAAATTCTTCTAAAATCTCCGACTCACCTGCTGACTAGCATCGAATTGAATCGCATCGATAATTCCATCTAATAACTGTTATTTCGAAGAGGATATTTAATTTCGTACACCTCACGCTATCCACAAACATTTACTCTAGATACCTACATTAATAACAACGAACCTGCACTCTAATAACCCAATTTTAACGCATTATACGGCAGGGTTAGGGAAAAAAACCGATCGTGACATAAAATTATTTACAATCATTATTATCCTGCCCGGCGATTTCATAATTTCGTCAACTTAAAGCGAACATTGCATGTCAGCCGTACTGACACCTTTATTTTATGCCGATATTTGTGACCGAACCCAACGGGTATTTTATATTTTATTCCGTGAAATACGCGATATTGTCGCATACCTAACTTATCGTCGTTTAAAGGAATTTTAATCCAAAGCGAGTTTCCAAACACTCGACTAGATTTAGTATTAGTCGTAATCATTTTATAATGCAAATTTTTTAATAAACTGTTTTTTTATTGTTCGGATTTACTGCACTACACTACCGTTTATCCATCGGTGTAGCGTATAGAGAGTGTAAATAATCTCGAGGCAAGGATTGCGGTAGTCGACTGCGGAGCGCAGAAAAAGAACAAAACTGTTCCATATACGCTCTCGCGTAGGAGTGAATTGCTAATTAACGGGAATATGAAGTAGAAAGTAGATTATTTTTTTCTAATTAATGGGAGTCTATTAATAAGCCGCGTTTTATCCGCGATTCAAACAAAAGAAACGTTTTGTATCGTTTAAGTATAATATTAACCTACTAATTATTATAACACATCTAATTAAAACAGAAGTAACAGCATTGTTAAGAGAATTTTCATAAATTTAGTAACAACAAAATAAATTAAATTAATTCCCTAACATTGATAACGGTATCGAATAGATCTATGTTGTTTCTAATTACGAAATAAATGTGGCGTAGCCGTTACAATTAGGGCCGGTTAATTGGATAGTTAAGCTTCGACCGCAACCCCGCTTCTAAAATTGATACTATCTACTTTCCTATTGACATATTGGCCATTGTTATCTTTCGCGTCGCGTTCGAAATCGAAATTTATTCCTCGACTGTATTTGTTTAGCGAATAATTGAAATCGCAACGGGATTTGCGCCGGATTTTTTCTCCCGAAGTGCGCCCATATCTTTATCCGCGCAGAAATGCATATCGTGATTCGAAATAATTAAAACAAATAGTAGTCGACCTCAGGAAAATGAAAAATCCGATACCGATTAATTTGAGCGAATAGGCATTGAAAACGCTAGGATTTTAGTTGGATATAATGAGGCCGTTATTACCAGAAGATTAAATTAAATCGACGTCAGCGAATATCGAAGGTAAAAATGTACCTGCTCATTTGAGACACTACAATTCAAGTCCATGCGTGTATTCTAACGATGTTTCGTAAGCGAATCGAACTGACTATCAAAGAAATATCAATTTATGCTAACTACATACTCATTTTCATAGGCAGCTACTTATAGATGGTGCAATACCTTGTAGTCGGTTATTTGCGATTTTCTGTGTACCATTAATTTTACAAATACAACGAAAAGTCGAGATGTAAATTACACAATGCGGTCTCTAATGCTTCAATCACGAAATAATCGGACAATTGGTGAGGTTTGCAATTAGAAAAACCTACATCAGGTATTATTTGATTGTAGTGGTAACGGGATGTTATTACAGGCATTTTTCGGTTCGTAAATTAATAGTAGAGAATATTGAATTAATAAATTTGAATTAAACTCACCGTCACTTGATGAAGATCCAACGTGGGATCCACCGTCTCCTGAAAAAACTGTTCTAATTACTTTAGAAATTTGTTCAATATTATCGGGTAACAGGAAACAATAATTCCAAAATCAAAGGTAAGAAACATTAGCAAAATTAGAGCATAGCGTTTATTTTTTTCTTTCATTCCATGATTTTTTAATTATTCGGTTAGCTTTAGATGAAGTTTCATATGGTTATACAACATTCACATTTCTGGATAACAATAATACAACATATTTTTCGATACGATTATGATTTTAGTTGTTATTTAAAAAAGCAACTTTTACCATGCAGATAGGAATTCGGCTGGCGATTCTCGCGAATGCGAAATATTCGTTCGCGGACGTTTGAATTATGTCACTGGCGTACCGCAGTGTAGTTAGACTTCATAAATAATAAGAAACGTTTCGTGTGCAACCTCGAAGAATATCTCGAAGACGCTGATCGTTCCGAATGAAAAATGTGAAAGATGCCCGCGTTTTTTGTATCTTATTCTACAACAATCACAACCAGGAATGCTCGTATAGGCATTCGATATTGGTGGTGAAAAAGATGCAGTAAAATTATTTAAAAAGTGTAAAGAGAAATGTTCCTACGTACGAGTTTTTTTAAGGCGATTAAAATTATTAAATTGCTGGTAATATCCTGCGCGCATCCTTGAGATGTTATATTACCCTGTAATGACGGCAACATTACGCACCAATAATGTAGTTGTTTCAGCGTTATTACCCCCTCAGACTTAAGATCAATATGAAGCAATTTTCCAAATTATCCATAATCCCGCACTAATTTGTCGTGTTAGTTTAACAATTCACTTATAAAAATTACAGACCACTCCAAAAAATACCCTATAATCAATACGATTATTGAACCCCTATAATAATCGTAATAAATTAAAATCGATTTTTTTTCGTAGTACCTATTTGCCGTTAAAAGAGTCATCAACACGAAACCGCATTACCGTCCACCCACTTCCTAAAATTACCTCGGTAATCTGAATCCATGTAACAATTTTTTGGTGCAAGTAAGCGTGTACCGTTTTCCCTAATAATTTAACTCCAGCTTTTATCTCGCTTTATTGCAACACCGGCTAGATACGATTGCTTTATCAAAGGAAAATTAACTGGTACAAGAGGGACGGATAATCTACATGTTATTGAGATAAATTGAAATTTTGATGTTATGACGAACTTGCAGAATATTCAAATTTAAATATAGGGTAAACTGTGAGTAAATTAAGAATTACGCACGTTCTGCACGATCTCACCGTTTAACAGATTATTAGTTATAATTCCGCAGGTTTGCAGCATTTACTGAACCGTTTATAAACAGTCGAGTTTAAACGGTAATTATAATAACGCAGGACATTAGGTATCGTTAAATTTGAACAAGGTATCTACTACTATAGCAATTCCATTAGTCGAACTATAATATTGTGTTTTTAACCCATATTAAGCGAAAAGATTTTTCGAATCGGCGCGCAGCGTATTTCGCAATGCGAGATGCATGTCGACTTGCGCGCGGAATGTTTAGATGCGAATCTTAATGTTACTTGTCAATCCTTGGCGGTTATTTTTTTAACTTAATTGAGAAGTTATTTTACATAATGGTGTTCACGTTACGTCAGTTACATGTTTCTGTACGTACAATCAGCTATAAAGTATAGCGCTGGATAATATCGACGTTAACTGCATGCCTATAGTAGTATAGTAGCGCTGTAGTTCAGTTGGAAGCGTTCGAATTGATTTTAATTTTATTTTATTCTATTGAATTATACCTATACCCTAAAATTGTTCTATATATGACTAAAAAAACTATTGAGAAATATTGATAATATAAGAATTGTAAACAACACGATCTGATCACAAGTAAATTATTTGGAACAACCAAAAAAAGCAAACGAAATACCCTGTATAAAAGTAGATTAAAATGTGGTCAATTTCGACTTTATCCATAGCATATTTTCCGTAAAAGCGCCGATTAAACGATTCGTTTAGTCTTATAAAATTCGTTAATAAATCTTTCCTGCTACCGCAGGATAGCGTAATTAAGTTCAACTTAGAATAATCATAGTAATAGATTTCGTTTAATAGTAAAATAGTAAGCCGCTGTCGACAATGAGCGGATTGGACGTTTATTGCAAAGGATTACGTGATTTCTGGTGCTTTCGAGTCGTCTGGTCGGCTCTCACAATAGAGCTTCGGAATTCCAGAGTTTGACGCAAAACGCACCGTTCACTTTATTTTAACAACGGAATCGTTCTTTCTCGGTATCCTTTCATGAATTAATGATGCCATGCGCCGAGTTATGGTGTCGCTAACTAAGTGTTTTGCAAGACGCGTTAGCCTGAACTCTATTTCCCGACAGCTCTTTGTGGCAGGATGAATTTATAGCAAGATTAGCGATTCGAAACTGTTGGTTGTTTATGTTGGGAGATATTATAAATATCCGAAATTTTTTAACCATAGAAATTTCAACGTAAAGGTGGGTTTACTTACGTTTCTTCTTACTTTCAGTTTCCTGCTGGTGCATTCCGCCTCCTGAGGGATCTATCATCATGGAGTGTCCCAGAGGTCCCCCATGACCACCTGGTTGACACTCCATCGTTATCATACTACTATCAATGGTTGCGCCACACTGAAACAAGAAATATAAATACATTTAACAGTTGGAGTAAAGCGTGTAAATCGAAAAAAATGATTTTTGATTTTATCCGAATCATACCGGTAAGTGGTCGTTAAACTATCCCGTGAAGCGACTTTGACTTGTTTATCTAATTGATGGCGTGCATTGCTTTTATATAAATAAGGCCATATGGTAAGCGTTTGCTTTTGCATGACTGCTATGATTTACTTGATCTACTCCTGTCTCGCTACTGCCTAGTATCTCACACTCTGTATCTATCTACCTGTGACAATTAATATTTTAGAGAGATAAAACGTTATGGCAATGAACTAGATCTTGTTCCGATCGAAAAGAAACTATTCCTGGAATGTTAAAATGTAAATTTAATCTCTTTAGATGATAAATAAGCATAATAAGCATAGCGTGATGGGTTGACATTTTAATAAAAAAAAGTACTTTTAATAAATTAGACATACGTAAAGCGCGAGAATATTTGAATACTTGTAGTTTTTTTTAAACATATTATGAGTTTTTTAAATCACTCCTCGACCGTGAAATTATTTCCAACTAATATTTGAACTCGAATCCAAATTTAAATTAAATGAATTCAATTTGTTGAATTAATTTTTTTTCATAACCAAATTAAATAAACAATTCGATCCAATCATTAAAGTTATTAATTTTTCTGGTAAATCGTCGGCTGCTTTATCGAAACCGATTTGTAATTTTAATATTCCGTAAAACATTTACTAACAAAACTATTTCTTTAACAGTTCGTTATGAAACGTAATATAAAGAAACAAAACGACTAAATTAGCGGTTGGTTATAACCGATTCAAACCGTGTCTAAATTATTTTCAATACCAACCTCTATAATTACCCAATTCGAAAATCTCTGTAATGCTTATTGCCTGTCGGTAAAAAATCAAACGTCTGTATTACCACGTTCACTAATTATTACGCTACTGTATTAAAAAAATAATGCGCGCAATTATGATTACAATCTAAAACTTGGCCCATAGACCACAAGATAAAAACGGGAAACCGCAAAATCATTGAAATAATCAGTAACCCCGAAAAACCGGCGCTGAATCGCATCCCTTTTCCTTTCGAAATACATATAACTTTAATGAAGGGTAGCCATGGCATATGGCCCTTTCGTTAAGTGATTTCTCCCGCCCAAGGAAATACCTACCGACCTTATGGTGTCCTTTATCTTCGTATCTATTGCACTAAGCGTGGCAGAACAGATGAACCCATCGGTACCCATTATTCTATCATTACCTAATGATCGATCTTTCGCCAAAAAAACGAATCGAGCCATTGTTGAGGGTTTTGTTCATTAATAGTGTCAAAAATCGATTTGACATATGTTCGGTACCTTAATGAAACTATAATTTCACTTTAAGGTACGTACATATTGAAGAAATAATGGCAGATGCTTCAATTTAAACAATGAATTTTAGAAGATGTAACAAGTAAGTTACATGTTGAGAAAGTATAATAATTTCACCAACAATTGCTAGACTAACATTTGTCGATAGAAAAACTGAATTGAATAAAATAAAAAAAATAATGGGAAATACGGAATAACATTATCCAGTAGAATCTAAAACTTGGTAACATCCTGTTTATGTAACTATTAATTAATTAAATATTCACGTATACGTATAATTATAAAATGATCGTTCAATTATAAGTAAGTAAATACCCAACAAGTCTTTATCATGTAATATTCAAAATTTTACTGAACATAAAATGATTCACTTTTCGCACTTTTCGCTAATAATTAAATAGTCTAGGTAGAGTAATTGCGATAATTTTTTTTCAACTTGGAGTAAAACAATTACAGCTTTAATAAACTTTCCAATACCGATGTATAAAAATCGGCGCATTGTAAATATTTAAACGCGTGCAGTGTTCTTGGGAAATCAGATGAAAGTGTGTACATGCATGTTTGACAAATAAGTAGGTGGAACATATTACTAGCACTATTAACTGTCAAGAAATAATTATTAGTAATTAATAAATTTCCCTGTCTTGTTGCCGCACGCCCGGTCTAAAAAAAACGCAAATCACGTTACTACTTGAAGTATAACAAGACAGATTGTCTGTAGATATAATTCCTAGACGGGAAATCGGCGACACGAACCGACTGGGAAAAGTGTTTGTTCCTCTAAATGAAAAAAAAAATAACCAAAAGAGCCTATTACAGATCGTAAAATATTTCCATAGCATCCAGTTTTTTTCATTTGAAATCCTAGCGCTTGCACTGGTGTGACTCGGAGAAATAAATACCGTTAACGATGCATCCATGCATGCTTTAAACTTCTTATTGCGTTCTCACACCTTGAACGATATCAAACCGTATCTTCGCTTCTTTACTTGCAATTTACTGCTCCGACAATGAGTATTAGACCGAGGAGAATAGACTACCGAAAAAGCTCACTGTCCATTCATAAATAAACTTAAATAAACTCTGTGGACAGTACACCAAAATATTTATATTAGATTAAAAAAACCTATAAGGAAATATATAGAAATTAACAAAGATGCACGACATCAATGGTATCGATAAATATGCTCGCTGATTTATCAATGGAACTCCTATAAATCATGTTGATATAAGCACATTAGTACACAGATATAAGTAATTAGACGACAAATGGCTCAGTATTTACAAATGCTAAGGCGAAAGACTACACTTTGACAAATATAGCTCTGCCCGCAGGGAGCGCAGTATAATGAGAAAAACAGTGGCGTAACTTATCATCTGTCATCTAACGCCTAAAGAAGTATTTTTCAGTAGGTTATTTATTAAATGTAGCAGTTCTTTCGCCTATACGGGCGTATTAATTTTAATTGCATCTAATTAACGTGGTTTAAAAATGTATTTTCCTGCAAATCAGTTCAATCAAGTAGCAGGAAATTTTAACCTGTTAACCTGCCATTAACTATTAGAGTCATCCCGTTTTCTCTACGAAATTTCAATTTGCCGTAATACTTGCTCGTTTGGAGAAAAAATAAGGAATCGTTCGTGATTACCCGGAAGATATAAATGCAATTCACAAGTAACATTACCGCAGTTAATTGCAATAGGCTGGGCTGTATTTTTACCCGGTGCAAAGTTAATTGGAAGAGTTTTAAGAGCCTTGCGCCGTGGCTAGGGTCAACTTAACTACTATGTATATTTCACTCTGTTATTTATTGAACTAGGTATATAATCATAAGATGAACTATGGTTGTATTTTGATGCGAACCGGCAATTTCTCGGTAATTAGAATAACTATTCCAAAACGCAGGATACCTCGATTGGTTTAACAACTAACTTTGATATATCTAACGTGACATACTCCACTCTGCTTCTAATATTAACTATAATAATCCAACCTTGTTTGATGTAAATAATACATCTACTGGAATATATTTCGTTGTATATAATTCAACAAAATGTTTGTTTTATCACCGTATATAACTGTAAATTAGAAGTGCACAAAGTGCAATCAAGTAATGATAAGTGTAAAATATGTAATTTAGCCTACATGTTGCAGCGAATTTCTGATGTCTCTTTACATTAAAGTAAGCATTCGAGCTATTTCACTTATTTCAGTTTTTTGCGCTTTAAGATACATACCGGCGTTAATAAACCTTAAAGAAGTTATTAAGGTATGAGTGGATTATCAAGATTATAGTTTTGGATCGGGCACATACTCATCAATCCATTATTTTAAATCGACCATTTTATGTGGAACATTACTAAAATCACTTTAGCCATTACGCTAAAATACACCTTAATTTACACTCCTGAGATTCTTTTTCCCTTGTACTTATATACCTACATATTAATTTTTGCGCATTAACTATAAATGTTACAAAAAATTTAACTACTTTGTAGTGAGCCTAAATAATTATTACTTAATAATATTAAGAACAATTTTCTGCAATATAAACAGGAAAGATCGATTAAAATGCATTTTCTACTTCCTAATTTTGCAAACATTTTTTACAAGTTGGCAAAAATTGCTTCATTAGACAATAATTATAGAGATTTCCACAACAAAAATTTTATGCTTTCTAAAATACAGTCAGTATCTTGCAAAACTACATAATGAATTTTTATGAGAATTAAGAAATAATTATTAAAAAAAAATACCGCGTTTATGCAGTGAAACTATTGCTTGTTAAAACGTTTCAATAACTTTACACGCCATTTGAAATTAGGGATAAATTGATCAATAAAATTTCACACCTTTCGGAACCAACCAATGGTAGGTAAATCGAACTAAATCTAGTCCAAGAAGAATTTGATGAATGGACTCGCATTCGTACGTGTATGGAATGTTTATGAATTCACGTACCGACTTAGATGGCACTAAGGCATTAATAGACACGTAAAGTTGATTGATTACATTCGCCTAGTCGGCATACCAGCAATCTTTTACACGAAAAACAAATTGGAGCAAATTATAAAGGAATAAATAGTCATTAATAACTACTTCCTCATTATCAGCGCACTGTATTTACAAGATACTTTCATCTTGGGAGAGATTTTTTTGCATAAATTAGTTGGTCAGTTCCTGATGAAACAATTCTTATTATTTATTGTTATGATTAAAATACAGGAAAAATATATCAAAAATAATAACGTAACATTTAACCTTCGGTTTTATATATCCCTTTTATACAAAAGACGCTACCAAGTAAGTAGCGACCGGTGATATTTTATTTTTCGAATGAAAAAGTGAAACAATGCATCCAGTAGTTTAGTCCTCCCCCACGAAGAGGCGTTACCTCAGCGGAAGTGAGCAAGGTTTTTTATAACAACCACAGCGAACGCTAAAGTCAGAATATGTCCGACTAAAGGAATGACGTGATTCGAACAATCACGAGCTGAGTTGCCGTACCTTTCTGTTCCAATACACATACTCGTACAAAGATAATTTGTTATTAAAATTTGAACTGCCAGTGTGTAACCAAATTCTCTATTTGCACGATATATCATTAAAGATTCATACAAACTACTTATCTAAAAACTTATTCAAGTATCTAAGTGAACTGTAGTTGAATATTCAACGTAAAATATTTATCTGGAAAATTGGGAAAATATCGTACATGTGACAACACAGCAAAGTTCATCAATATTGTTTCTCGAGTACGCGAGTAAGTACTTACATATCTTCTAACATGGTGTTCAAGTTTAGTGAATTCCATTTATCGCTCTTTAATTGAAAAACAGTGAGAAAATCGCTCTTGTATTAATTTGTATGAGAAAAATTTTATAATTAGAATAATTAAAGCGAATAAAATAAAGTCTTACATTAACATTAAAAAATTTTGTTACGTATAAGGTTGAACGCGCTAATTTATTTCTTTATTGTTAAAAATAAACGAGATAAGTAGTACAACTAATTTAATTTGAAGAAAACTTTTAGTATACAAGTATGCAACACGATGTTAACCTGGTGATTTTGAATAGCTATTTTCATATAAAAAATCAACGTAACTCATGATGATTGTTTTCAAAAGTCAACAAATCGAAAATGCAAAACAGTAAATTGTTAGTTTACTCAATAATTGTGGGTGTATGTACGTAGACATTAAAATGTCATTAAACAACACTGGTACCGTTTGTTCAAAATTTACATATGTAAGAATTTTTCCTTGATTTTACAATTATTCAAATAGTTAAAAAATATTCTACGCAAGATTAGTAAGATACCTACTGGGTTTCTTGTTTTATATCATTCGGAGACGAAAACTTTCTTCGCAATTGCAAACGCCTTATCTTATTCAATCGATCTCAAATATATTACAAACTCCTCGATTACATTTGCCTGAAATTACTTTTCTAATGGTCATAGAGATCATTAAAGCAGAATTACAACGACAGTCGTTTCATTAATTACGCTATTTTTATCACTAATGGTGCAACAACGGATATCCAGATTAAAGCGAATTTAATCACACAACAAATGCGAAACTATTAAATTAACCCCTTTTCAAATTTCAATTCCTGTACTCACATAACTCATCGTTTTAATCAAAATAATAGCTTATTAAATATTGGAAAAAACCGAACGTCTCTAACAGGCAACAGGCTCGTGTATAAGAAGTAAGCACGAAAAGAATCTCGGGCTGATTTGATGTAAAGTTGCATATAAGAACAGTAACCGGAGTCTCGAGCGATGACAGGATCAGTGCGAGCACTCGCATATCAAACAAACCTGACGAAAAAACCGAATGCCACTGCAATTGTGAACTTCCCTGGACGCGATTTAATGAAAGACGCAAACACGTGGTTTGTTATGAGCGCATTAATCCGCATTTCAAACCAGATTTCGAAACGTCTCATTCGGAATCGTTGAAATTCAACGGAAATTCCGATAAATCTCGGGCGAATAATAATTACGAATGACGTTACGATAATTATTAGACAGCTTTTAATATAATAACACCCAGTGTAAGAATTGTGCGGCGCAGGTGCGCATGTGGGAACCGAGATTTAATCGGCGAGATTACCGAGGATAAGCTAAGTACTCCATGTCTTTCTGAATGCCTTTGTTAACTTTTTTCCTATTACCCGGCATTCGATAGAGAGATTAAATACTATTTGTAATTAAATTAAATTCTGTTATTAAACAACAGAATTGTATTCTCTTTTATCTCTAATCGATTAATATTAAACAAATAATTAAATAATTCAATTAATTTTAATCCAAATATCACTGAAATGAGTATTTTTCTTGGTTGTAGAAATACACTATTCATTGAAAATGAAAATAAAAGTTTATTATACCTACAGAAATAAAATAATCATTTACCAGCACCTATTTAACTCATTGCTTTTTGATAATATTTAAATTTTCGGTTAGTAGACAAGGCTTTGTTTGAACATTTAAATATTCTACGGATATTTCGCATTTGTTGAAGGTCAGTTCGATAACCCCCTCTTCGAATCGTCAATTTTTTGTGGATAATCTGACATTGTATTTGTGAACTTCCTGTCCAACATTGAATTTTAATAATGGCGATAACAAAAGACATCGGTTTTACCAAAGGGTATGAAGGTATACATGATTTTGTAAAAACAATCCAGCTTTTTTTGTACCACAACGGCCAACATCAAATAAAAATATTTAACTTATTGTATGTATATGTAAGTATAAGTACCTATTTCGAATTTGTTATTCGCATTGCTGCTAAACAATACGTATAGAGTCAAAGTGTATCTTAATCTCAAATTCTCGAAGCTCTATAAACCGAAAAAATATATATGTATTCCGTGCTTTACATCGGTTAAGACGCTTAAAACGAGGATCTGCTATTGTTACGTGTATTTTATGCGTGAGTTATTACCGTTTCAAGTCTTTATCACGGAGCGTGCATGTACTTTATCCTTTTAGTTTATATTCGAAGAAGCGCACTTATTAATTGAAAACGTTTTATCTGGTTTAACGGGATAATTTCTGAACCTTAAAAATAAGGTTTTTACGTTGTTTTAAAACCGCAAATCATTATGAAATTCGGTTCGATAAAAAGTTGTGCTTTATCGTTGATATTTAATAAATTTTAGGTCTCATAAATTTCTTCCTACACATAGGTACAGGTACCTTTCTAGAGCGCGAAATCCTAATAAGTACGTTTTATTATCCATATCGCAATAACTGTAGCTATTGTAATAAATAAAATAAAACGTCACTTCTTGTGTGACAAAATTATAAATCAACTTTACGTTTGTGGTTGTATATCATTCAATAACGATTTGTTTGGACAACGTTTTGTAAATACGAAATACTACCTGGCATGTATTGTTTCGAAACTTTTATAAGGATTTGTATAAAATGCCGGCAGTATTAGGCAAATTAGATATCATCGCATAATTCAGATTTCATTCCATTAAAACCGAACACAAGCATAATACACGTACGTTGTATTCGAACATATTCGGTAAACATGTAATTTTACCGTTAATGATCGCATATTCTCTCACAAATTGGTATTTTCTTGTTATACTTTCAATAATGTATAGTAGGTACGCCAGATCATTTTATATATAGGTCTAACTAAATAAATTATAACGGTATGAGATGTAATTACTGTTTCTGAAATATGCATGTCGCGAAAACTTGGCTATTAGAGAAGGTGTGATGTTGCTCCAATTTGATAATTCATCAAATGCTGTTTTTTTGTATACCTACAGAAATTCCTGATATGTATTTTCGAATCATTAACCTAATGCGAATAGTTTGCATAATGACTAATATGCATCGAGAGTACGACGAAGAGTCGATTATCTCGAGGAACATTTATAATATGAAGAATAATCGTTTCGAAGCGTGGACTATTTACACGTTAGAAAATTATTTTAATAATATATCTAGAGCAAATTTGAATTAAATTTTAAGTGCAAGTAGCATATAGCCCATTTTTAATCCTAACAAAGTAATTACCTAATACCTACATGATAAATTATTAATAGAAATAAAAGTAAATATAACTAATAATGAGTACACGCATGAATAATTTTAATTTGAAAATATGTATTACTTATTAACTGTGGGTAAAGTAATTTAAAAATCAAAATTGTACCATATTTTTTTTCAAAGTATAGGTATACTTTAATGCTTTAGAGACATATATTTAAAAAAAATGAATTTGTAGGTAAATAATATTTATTTGATTAGGTACACTAGAAACTCAATTGTAATAGATAATATTCATAGACCCAAATTAGCGACCTTGTCTAATATTAATGGTAGAGATATCTAAGTGTTTAAAAAAAATTTGAAATTCTGATTTTATTTTCATTCGTTAAATTGATTGTTTATGACAGGACATTCGATTTTAAAAATAAAAAAGATTTTTTAATATAAAATCCAACATAATGACGCACGTAGATTGCCAAGCTCAATGCAAAAAAATACAATTAAATAAATTATTCCCGGAAAAAATTGTATAATGAAACATCCGGTATTTGGAATTATAAATTAAAAATTATTTTGTATCCAGCTATTTTTATCTTTAACAATAATTTAACATTATAAAAATTCTGTACAGTACAAACTTACCTTTAATATCTATAAAAAAATCAATAAACCCACTTGTAGGTTTTCCACTAAAACCACAGAACGTTTAAGTACTCTAGCAAAAATACACTCTAGTCCAATTCTAAATCATTCTACAGTTCGAATCGCCTCAAATCATTAGACATAGAACACTAATTTAGTTCATTAACACACCGAACTCATCACAATAAGTCCATTCTAATTCTAACACACATCGGATTCAGTTTAGCGGGAAACCCACACGACAGTACGGAAGATATAGATGATCGCACAGAACAGTAACCGGGAGATATCAACGGGCGTTAAGCCGGCAAACCCTGTGAAAAAATCCTGCTATCCTGCGGAAAACTCTACGGAAAAAATCACGCACTACCAGCCTCAAAGAAGGATACTATCCATTGACTTCTCAGTACGGACTGTGCCGGGCGAGTGACTGCTCGACGCACTGTTATGCTTCAAGAACTACGTGCACCTGTTGAGGTGGAAGGGGCATAATTTTACCCCTCCAACAGGTACTATTGTTGTATTTAAATATCATTCGTGGGGAAAAATCGGAAGTAGCGTTTTAATTTTGATAGAGCGACGTTAAAGGGGTGTTTAAAGGCAGTTAACGAACTCAGTATGAGCAACTAGTAGCTTTTAACTTTATAGTGAATTAGTGTTGAATGAAATACATGCATTGTTCAATACATTACATTTATTTTACATTGTATTTTTTGGTTTAAATTTAGAGTTAGTTGCTTTGAAGAAAAAATATGGTTGTTTTGAAGCACCCTGTAGATAAATCGATTAAATTAGATAATTGGCAGTTCCATATGTAATTAACTGTAAAAAAATGATCGATTGGTTGGTTTTAGCGCCTATAATTCGCTAATGGGAGATCGAAAAAAAAGCCCAAACTTTTAATTATACATATACCGAAGTGTCCTGCGGGCAGCAGGAGTCACTTAATTGCCGGGTACCGAAAATAGCAGTCCAACCTTGCGAATTTCATTCAACAGTTTATCGACGAAAATATTAGTTCAAATTGATCGTATTTATTAAGTAATTACACTATCCAGGTAGTCATTAAGCAGTCACCAACTGAAAATTATGCAAATTTTTGCCTCATGTCAATTTGGGAGATGGCTAATTGAATTTAAAAAAATCGACTAACATTTAGTAATATAATCAATAACTATTACAATAAAATATGTATAAGAACGTGATTTAAATATGGGTGTTGACAAATTACACGAATTTTAATCGATACTTTATCGATCTGTTCCTGATATACAATTCACCCAATCAATCTTCTCATCGCCGGCAACAATTCGAACTTTCAAATCCGTTCGAATGCCCGGCAACCATCAAAATAGATAGCTGGCGAGCTTAATATTCATGCATCACCGTGCCGTATGAATAATTTAATGATTATGACTTATACGGTATGTCACGCCTCACATCTCACCCGACCTTATGATTGGTCGGAGACTTTTACACACCTCCTGTTTACTTTTCAAACAATTCGGTATTTCTACCTGTTGACGGCACACACACACAGGTGAAACTAGCCACTGAATAATTATGAAGCAGTCGGTATTGAATTGCCGCCGTGCCGGCTTTTTTATTTATGCGCTCTTTCAACAGCCGATTGAGATTTTGTAGCTCCGCTTTTACATTCATAATAAGTAAACTAATGATTTTTATTACTGGATGAATTCGTTCGAACTGTAGGATAATTTGGAACGAATTTCAATGAAAATATGGACAGTTTCCTCAACCCACATCTCGACACTGTCGACACTCGTTTGATTCCGAGCAACGGGAATTGAAATTAAATTGGTAAAAATCCCAGATTTAAATATCTTACATAGGAAATCTTATTATGCAGGTAATAAAATCTCTTTATCGGAAAATTTAATGTACCTACTTATATTATATAGAATACAATGTACGCTTTACTTATCGTAATTTAACTGATGACAGCTAAAGAGCCGTTTTATTGATTTAGGATATAGTTAAAAATATACAAAATTCCTTTTATGTCATGTTTCAACAACGACTATGAACGAGGAAAATGCTCCTTCGGATTCCTCAATAAACGTTAAAGTCATTTCGCATAGGCAGGTCTTCAGAAAATAATGCAGTTTAGCCATAAACTGTGATTGCGGTAACCGTTTAAGCGGTTTTAAGTAAATTTTTAATCATTTATTAAGGTATTTTAATAAACCATATAGCCTGTAAGATTTTTGCAATGTATTAGCTTTTATATGAAAACGTATATTCACTTCTATTACTCAAACCGAGATTCCCAGAAAGATATACCGAATATAAGGAGCACTTTGGAATTCTTCGATGAAAATACATGTGGAAGTACGCCAATTAAAATTTTATGATCGGTTTTAGGGTTCTTTAAAAGCATTAATTATTGCTTATTAGTTAGTAGCAAAATCCTATTTTCAAGGAATTGGCTTCCTGTTAGATAAAGACACGTATAGCTGAATAATCTCCAGTAAAGCTATAAATAAAATTATAACAAAATTGTCACTTTTATCTCTCCTATAAAGTAATTAAATTAGTACCGGAAATTCGAGTATACCTAGTTCAAGAATTTTACTAGAAAATGTATAAAAAATAAAAATCAATGTTGCAAATATGGGACCTTGTAAATTTTATAAAGACTTAATTATTGAAACCACTGTATTTCCGGTTGATATGTTTGAGTCATCTCGATTCAAACTGTTAATTAGTGATGTATACTTTAATAATTACTATTAATTTCAATTTTATGTTGTGTAAAATGGACTTTTACAACCGGATTCTCTACTATAATAAAACTACATTATTTTATATAATGTCTAGTTAGGTTTAATATAATTCTACAATTTTTTACATAAAACAACCACAAAAATAAATTATACTCTACCATAAGCGAATAAATATCACCAACAATTATCTTATTTCCTTTGTATAACGACTAGAAGCAATTTCTGTGAAATACGTATAGAGTAAAATTGGAAAATAATTTTTAACGATTTTTGTTGTTTTTCTGAAGCGTCTTATAAGGCAAGTTTGAGCTCGCGTAAACGTCAGATGGTGATTTAAATGAATCGAATTGCTCTCTCCGGGTGATAGGCCACTGGGTTACTTTAATGCACTACGGTCATTAAATGAGCAGCCGTTACTTTGTGGTCGGCAATTTCAAGTAAGAATTTCCTTTGATTTATTATTTTCAAGTAATGTGCAGGTTTCTATGCAGTACATCATAATAATAATATTGTGCAGTGTATAAGTAAGGTGGGTGAAAATGTTACCTAGGTATACTATAAGTAAATCTGCAGGAGAAATTTTGTATTAATGCCTAAATTTATAAGAATCTTTTGATGTTAGTGTAGTATTTAAATACGCTCTTTTATAGAGCGGAAAATTGGGTATGTGTAAGTAAATCCATAATTTTAAACAAATTGCAATAAAATTAAGTAGGCAGATCCTAAAATCCCATTAGCATTTTAAATAGTTCGGTTTAATTTCCCATCATTTCAGGAAGCAGTTAGGAAACTCTATTATTTATACACCCCAGATCTGAGCAACGCGATATCTGGAGATAGATGGAAAAAACCGTTGATAAAATCCGGAAAACTAATTTCGTATTCACCATTTACCTCCAATGCTCGTGGCCTAGTGCATAATATCCACTTAAATATACATATTACACAAATACATGCAACTTTAAGTGACAGTTTAGGCATGTAAAGACACAAACACAGGAGATTTTAATTAGAGATAAGGCGAGGAACCTGGTCGTTCGGCTACTACCTGCTACAGTGTATGTAAGTATAGATCTGTTTTACATCACCATATGGGGAGTTATAGGAAGCGAATGCGAATTTTATTGAATGAAAGTTCTTCTACATAAATTACCAGCGAACCGTTTGTTATACAAACTAGTTTCGTGAGCGATGGGATGATCTCTCCTATACATCAGATGTTGCAATTTTTAATACCTTTTATACTCTTACGATTCCCCTACGCGTTTGCTCGAATATACTTAAGATTCACCACGAATCGCGTATGTTAGGTAAAGTAGGAACAAATGTACGAGCTTTAAAAATTGCATGACTATTCAATTAATGGGTGATTAATATTCACCGTAGGTATTATCTATAAATTAACTTAATTAAATCTTTGCGTAAGTTTAATCGAATCGCCAAGCAAACTAGATTAGATAACAATCCCACGATGATGTTTTTTTAGGAATTCTCTCACAACAAAAGATTGATCTATCTGCAGTAGAGGGGTTCGAGTATGTCCTTGAAATGAGCCCGTGCTTGAAAAAATAATATAATTCTAATATACGGCGCGCTTTCAATACCTTTATATTGCAAAATAGCCTATCAATTCGCGTATCTTTTATCTGTCTGTCAGCGAACGGGGTCAAACGTCAACCTGCGGGTAATTATTGCGCCTGATTGATCGGCTGAAAAATCTTTTGCACCGAAGACGATTCGCGTATGTGGCAATGTCGACGCGATTTCGATAATTATTAAATATTTATTTTGATGGAAAAGGCCTTACAACATTGAGTCGTGTTAAATTTTCGTGTAATCATCGCTTCAATTGCCTTCGAACGCTAATTCAACTCAATTTAATTAACTAAATTGCAAGAGTGTGTTTATTGTGAACGGTAATTGAATATAAATTCTTTAGATACTTTTGACTGGTTCTTTTTAGAAGATGCGATTAATGATGCTCATGTAGTAATACCTTTTATGAGCTTATAAATTGAGGAATTGGTAATGAAGAAGTTACTGCCAGACAGTCCTTAAACAGGACAGATATTTACAAATCTCTTTGGCACCGCCACAACTAGCAAATTTGGTAAGTTTTGTTCCAAAAAACAATTTGTAATTTTTTATGTATATGTACTTTAAATTAATCATGGAGTAGGTATTCCTATAATATAAGGAACCTAAAAGGATTTATCATGATTAATCCTTGAAGTAAAAAGGTACGAAACGGTTACATTAAATTTATTATACGACTTAGGTTCCGGTCTAATCGAACTTAAGAATAATGATGAATATTATACGTTATTCATTTCCACTCGTGCTTTTCCCGGAGGTAGTTGCACAAAGCGATACGTTTCAAGTGCGGCGGTTCTGAGGTTTTATCACCTTTGGCTCATTGCGGATAATTAATTGTACTTTACTATTTAGCGCAGTCGTTACTGAGCATATCTCGTGATAAATTGATATTCCTTTTATATATAAGGATATATGGGCGGGAAGGAGTTGCCATAAATCACCGATGAGATAAAGCATTTCTTTCTTAGGCACTTTATAAAGATATCGGTATTTATTTCCATAAATGCTTCGCTTTAGGAAGGCTCATTCAATTAATAGAAACAAAAAATTACTTGAAATCACCCTGTATTATATTATGCCTATGTGTTATCATAAAGTCAGTTT